GTTGTATTCGGGGGAAGAAGGTAGTCAACGACAGAGGCAAGGCGACAGAGTCATGGACAAGCAAATTGTCAAAGTTCAAACTCATGTCAAATGTAAAAATTCCAGATGGCAAAAAATTATGGATGGACTGGTATGGAGGGGTGAGTGAAGTAAGTGGGATGATGATGGTATGAATGAAATGATGTGTTCGGCTAGATGCATGAAGCTTCGGTCTCTATGCCCAGAATGACCATGGGTTTGTCCGTCCCAGAGCAAAATTTCCGAAAAACTTTTGTTTCGTTAAAAATAAAATTTGCCATTTGGACCATTTCTCGATTTCTGTTTGTCATCCTTGCGCAGGGACCATGTTAACTTATTTTTTCAATTTTTCAATTGTTTTTTCAGTTCAATAACGGAGGAAAAAAATGAAATATTGAAAAAGTAAGTTAGCATGGTCCCTGCGCAAGGATGACAAACAGAAATCGAGAAATGGTCCAAATTTTATTTTTAACGAAAAAAAAGCGTGAGAAAATTATAAAATCAAATAAATATTAATCAAACGGACCCCTTTTATGTGTGTGTGTCAGTGTGTGTGTGTGTGTGTGTGTGTGTGTGTAACTCCACCGAGTGGTGTTTTCTTGTTTTCCTTTTTTTCTGTGGTGTCTTTCTGCATTCCCCTTACAGGAGCTCTAGCTTCTCCTGCAGCTTCAACACCAGCTGACAGCAGCCGCTGGTGTAGCAGCACCAACACAGCTGCAGCAGCAGCTGCCACACGGGCACTTGAGCACCAACTGCAGCAGCAGTTGCAGCCGCGGCTGCAACTGTTGCCGCAGCTGGTGTTGCTGGCTGAAGTAGCAACAGAAGCAGCAGCTGCTGCTGCTGTATTGATCAACATAGACAGTGCAGGTGAGTGCACGTTATTTGGAACTTTTTTTTCCTCCTCTTTTTTTTCCTTCAGAGTCCAAAACCCCCCAAATTTCTGTCCCATGGGGCGTCAGCACAAAGCGCAACATGTGCGACGTGTCCAAAGACACATGGCCACTCCCGAAGTGCCAAAAAGCGCATGACTGGGATCCTGGCCATCCAGCCCAAGTGTCTGGTGATCATATGAACTTCCATATTAAGACCATATTACATGAGTATATATGAATGTCAAATGCAATACTACGTGTGTATTGCTACGTTCCTGTCCATTTCCTGAAGCGACACTGAACTTTGAGACGATGCCATTCATTGGCATTGGAACTCACGAAGAAGAAGAAGAAGAAGAAGAAGAAGAATGAGATCAGGAGAGAAGAAGAATGAAGGAAAGAAGGAGAAGAAGAAAAAGAATCCAAGCTTGAACCAATGTGAACTCCCTCCTTCTCTGGCCGCCATCATCTCCCTCACATAATCACCTCCTCATCTTTATTGACAATGAAATAAAAATATAAATAAATGAACGAACAGCAATCGATGTCCCAAGGATCCCCTTACTGCCAGCGTAGAAAGAGCTGTCCTTTAGCCTCCTTCCCCCCCCCTCTCCACTTGGCAGGCAGGGGTACCAGCTATGGCGGTTCATCTATGCCTAGCACGGCTGTTCAAAGCACAACGCAAATACTCTGCCAACTGGTACCCCACCATCATTCTTTTTCTTTTTTCTTTCTTTTTTTGTCTTTTTTGCATTCGTGATCCAGCACCAACTAGGAAGATGAAGATGTAAGTCCACTATAGCCCAAGGTAAGTCTCCTTGACTGTTCCCGCCTCCTTCCTCCTCCTCACCGGCTCCTCATATCCACAGGCCGACTGGAAAGTCCTCTCCGTCTACCTCCATAGCCTAGGCCTCCTCCTACCTCCCATGACTTCTTGGCCATGTAGGTCCTCTACACTGCCATCACCTCCTCCTCCTTCGCCCCCGTCCTCCACCTCAACTCTCCCTCTTGGGCAGAGCGGCATCACGATGGCCGGGTGACTGAGCGGGCTGCTGGTTGCACCGATCTGGGACAGGCACTTGCTCCTTCTACCGGGCCGCCCTAGGATGCAGCAGGCCTGCTGGGGTTTCCCTCCTTTTGGCGGAAACATCATTGCAGATTCACCCAATCTATCCGCAGGACCCGAATCTACCTCTAAAGGTATCTTCTACACTCCCACCCTGGGCCGTCGTGATCTACCAGACAGCTACCAGACCTTTCTAGGCCTTTCCAATTTTGGAAACAGAACTGTTTTATGCACTGGAACATACCTCCTACCGCGTTCACCCAAATAGAACGCCCGGTCATTATAGATGTATTTCAGTCCAGATGCCGCCAGAATGACCGGGCATTCTATTCAGGTGAAGACAGTAGTCCCAAATGAATTCTGCTTACTCACCCCAATATGTCCCCTACCGCGAACTTCATTTCAGTCCTCGAGTCCAGGCCTATCTTACTAACCTACCCCTGTCCGAGATGCAGGAACACAGCAGGGAAAACACTGTTAGCATGCTGACACCGACTTTGGTTCATTTCTCCCACGAACAAGCACACGGCATACGTACATCATCACCGGTTTCAATCCGTTTCTCCCACATAATCAGCAGGACACACAGACCTAGAGAGAAAACACAGCAAAACAGATTTCAACACTCTCGGAAATCTTAGCAACCAGATGAAAATCATGAAGGGCAGAAACTTTCTCTGAGACTGACAACTGCACCTGTCATTACACTATGAAGTGTATAGTACTGTTAGTACGTGCTATTAGACCGACAGAGAATGAAATATCTGCAAGGATTTTAGTTCCTCGGCAGTGTTGGAAAAGGTCTTGCCCGCCCTAAGTGAAGGCGGGCCTGTGAACATGCGCCTACGTAGGTCTGACTACAGGCCAATGTGACCGCATAAAGGGCCAGAGCAGAAGGCCCAACAGGCTGTTGAAAGGCCTGCGCCTGTTGGAAATCATTTGCAGGCTTGAAGTTTCGACGGGTCCTAACCAGGGGTTTGCTGAGTCCATGCCTCGCACCTGACAGTTACAGCAGGCTGATGCCGTGTGACCACAGCCTACTCGCCAGGCCTGAAGCTGTGAGGTGGCCTGCGGGCCTACCTGCCAACGAGAGCAGCAGCAGCCATGTTGGGCAGTTGATCCCTCCAACCGAACGGGGCCCAGGGCGCGTTTGGGAAAGGCCCTGGGCGAGTACACGTGAGCCTGGGTTGCTCACTCAGGCGCTGGAGTCAGGCCTTGCCTGTGAGACTGGGCCCGGCATATTTACAGGCTGGGCGCCTGGAGGCCAACATGTTGCCCAGCGATCGAGGACCAATGAAAATGCAGCTGCGGCGTCACAACATCAGACATGAGCCAATCAGAATGCGGCGAACACTTGGAGCCATGTGGCACAGTTGGGCGTGCCTAACTGCTTCGGGCCCAGGCCAGTATCTGAATTGGGCGTGGGCGTAGACACTTTGGGCCCCCACGGCCAGCCAGCACTTTCCATGAAGGAAAGTGCCCGCCGCCCAGCCAGGCATTTTGGCTTTGTGCAACCTCGCCGCAACGCTGCTGGATCACAGAGGGAGCTGGCTGCTTGGGAGCTTGCCGGAAGGGCGCACAGTGGTGAGGGGCGCTGCTTCCAGCAGCGGGCGCAAGCAGCGATAGCCGGGCCTGCTCGCAGCAATGCTGGCAATGGGGATGGTGGTCTTTGGATAGGAGGCGCCTATGGTGGGTGAGAAGGTGATGAGGAGAGAGAGACGACACACATACCTGATGTGTATGCGGCAGTCTGCATGGGCGATTTCTTCATGTACATTCGTCTTCATCTCGAAGTGATTCCTGGTTGCATTGTTGTAGATTGATAGGCTAGTACGCCTACGGTGGGTGAGAAGTGATGAGGAGAGAGAGACGAGACACGTACCTGATGTGTATGCGGCAGTCGCCATGGGCGACTTCTTCATGTACACTCGTCTTCAGCTCGAAGTGATTCCTGGTTGCTTTGTTGTAGATTGATAGGCTAGTATAGGTGCTGGAAGATCGTAGGCTGGGGCAGTTAGCGCCATATGAGAAGGGTGACATTGGATACATTGTTGATGGTGGCGACACATGGCTGGCATTGACATTTGAGTTCATTATATTGCTCTTATTTGGTTTATATCTCAGTGCATTCTACTTTCTGTCGGGCACACAGCCATCTGGTCTACAACGTGATGTTGCAATTTGGTTTTCTCTCTATCGCTCTCGCTCAGTTTCCTTGTAGTCAAATGAATGACATCGTTTGTGAAATGGATAATGGTAATTTTTTTATTTTTTAATCCGCCTACACATTTATTAGGCACACTTTTCCCCCATTTCCACATTCAGATTGTGTCCAAAGCATCTTCTTCTGCGATCGTTTATTCTTTTTGAAATTTGAATTAGTTCCCCTCTATTATTTTACAGTGTCCATTTAATCCGTGTCTGCACTGTCTGTCTCTGGTCCATTGTGGCCAAGCGGCACTGAGTGATAATGCTGATTTATTCCAAAATTCCATTGAATACAGAACCTAATACCAAAATAATATTTCAAGTGAATATACTAATATATGCGAGGCTCAAGGCCTTGATAAGCCCTACTGGGCCCTCTTTTCAGTACAGTCGGCCGCCCTAAGTGAAGGCAGGCCCAACCAAGGCCTATTTTGGGGTATCCACGCTACTGGGGAAATTCAGGCAGTTGCGCAGCGCCAGTTGGTTGAAAGCGCCCAGGCCCTGGCTGCTTTTATCAAATGCATCTGAGTCAGGCCCTGGGCGAGATACGCAACAAGGATCCAACACAGGCTGCGGGCAGTTGGGCACGGGTAACTGTCACAGGCCCTGGGCCTGATTTGTTCGGACTGGGGCTCAGCCTCCCGGGGCCTACCAGAAGCTTCTGGGACAGGGCCCGGTGCAGCCAGGTCGTAAGCAGCAGGCAGGCCACTTCCATTTAGGAAAGTGCCTGCCCCCGGATTCCTCATTCGGGCCCTGGCTGCATGCTGCGCTAAACGCTGGCCAGGCTCACGCGCTCACGGGCGAGCAGGGAGAGCAGGCAGCCATAGCCGAGCTGTGCTGCATAGCTGGATGGGGCGCATGGTGGTCCTTGGGTGCATGTGGCATCTTTGAGTGGGGGATCGAGGTTGTGAGTGATACGAGAGACATACCCGGTGCTTGAGGCGAACGGCATTGGCCGAGATCTGCTCGTACTTCGGGGAGCTGTTGACGTCACCAGCGGCATTGTAGATAGGCTAGATAGGATCTGCCATTTGTAGTCTGGGCACAGAGCGCCAGATAGGAAGTTTGACATTGGTTCATTGTTGATGATGATGAGACTATTCCAGCATTGTCACTTGTGAGCTTTTGCTGTGCTCTTGTTTCGTGGAACTCGTGTTGCAATTCTGCTTTTGGTTCGAGGTCACGGCTATCTGGTCTGATGTGTATGATGCTGTTTGGTTTCTGAAGTTCGCTATCGCTCATTTTCCTTGCATATATTTAATATAGTAAAATATACTTCAAATGAAATGAGGTAATTATGTGGTGATTGAAATCATGGGTGGTATTAACGATTGGATCCATCTGGCAGGCGGGTGACGTTCTGGCATATCGTCTTGTGCAACTGACGTCAGCGTGGACTCCAGAACTGTCTGATCTCCGGGTACGTAAAGAAAATAATAAAATATGTTACTTCCATTTTTCTCTTCGGCGTTTTGCGGTGCTCTTCTACTTCTTACCCGAATGTTTGGGCTGGGCAATTCATCCAGGCCGGGGAGTTCCTGGACGACCATATGGTCCAGGTCCAGCGAATCGGGATATAAGTCAGAAAACATCTTTTCGGTCTGGGATGGTGAGAATATGGTTATTATTTTGTGCTTGTAGAATGGACCGCAAATCCAAGCTTGTTTCCGAAAGAGTGGATGTGGG